ATACCAGAAGTACTAGCCAGGACAATTAGGCAAGAAAAAAAATTAAAGACATCCAAATCAGAAGCCAGGTGGCTTCTGTAACATACCTGTAATCCCACACACCTRTAATCCCAGCAGCTCAGGAGGCTAAGGTAGGAAGATCAAAGCCCTCAAAATAAAAAAGGGGTTAGGTGCCCCTGGGTTCAAACTCTGGCACCAAAAATAAAATAAAATAAAGGCATCCAAATCACAAAGGAAGAAGTAAAATTATGCCTGCTTATAGATGACAAATTCTTATGTGTAAAAAATATGTCTCCAAAACAGTAAACCTGTTGGAGCAAAAGAAATTCAGGAAAGTTACAGGGGCTGGGATTGTGACTCAGTGGTGGATTGCTCACCTAGCATGCACGAGTCACTAGGTTCGATCCTCAGCACCACATATGTAAAATAAAACTAAAAAATAAATATTAAAAAAAAGAAAGTTACAAGATACAAATCAACAAATCAATCTGTTACCACTTTTATATGGTAACAACAAATTATCTGAAAAAGAAATTAGGAAAATAATTAACAATTAATTAAATGAATTAAAGACTTAAACATTAAGACTCGAAACTATAAAAGAAGAAATGCTCCATGGCATTAGTCTTGGTGATAGTTTCTTAAGAGATGACACCAAACACAGAAGCAGCAAAAGTGAAAACAGACAAGTGGGAGTACATCAAAGTACAACACCTCTGCTCTATAAAGGGAAAGGTGTGAAAAGGCAATCTACATAATGGGAAAAAACATTTGCAAATTATTTATCTGATAAAGGGTTAATATTTAAAATATATAAGGAAATCCCACAACTCAAAGAGCATGAAAACAAATAGCCCAACTTAAAAAAGGATAGAGGACTTGAATAGACAGTTCTGCAAAGAAGACATACATAACAGGCATATCGAATATGCTCCATATCATTACTTATTAGAGAAATGCAAATCAAAACCAGAAGATAGCATTTCACACCTGATAGAAAATGGATAGCCAACAAAAAAAACAAAGAATAACAAGTGCTGGCATATATATGGAGAAATTGTGAAATCTATATACTGTTGGTGGGCATGCAAATGGAGAAACAAAATTTAGGAAAACAGAATGAAAGTTCCTAAAAAAAAAAAAAATTAGAAATAGAATTACCATTTCATGCAGTAATCCCATTTCTGGGTATATGTGAAAAAAAGAACTGAGATCGAAATCTCAAAGAGAAATACAAACTCCATCTACTGTAGTATCATCACTGTAGTAAAGACATAAAAATTACCTAAATTTGCATTGATAGACTATGAAAAAGAAACATGTTCTATATACAAAATGGAATACTGTTCACCCATAGAAGAGAATCCTACCAAATAGATAGGGTTTGTGGATCAAAATGGATAAAACTTGAAAACATTATATTAAGTGAAATAAGCCAGTCACAGGACAACAAATACTGCATGACTGATTCCACTTATAGATGAAATCTAAAATAGTCAAACTCATAGAAGCAAAGAACAAAATGGTGATTGCCAGGAGCTGGGGAGAGGGAAAATGGGAAGTTGCTGTTCAGGGGGTGTAGTTTCAGTTATGCAAAGATGAACTAGCTCAAGAGATCTGCTATAACACATTGTGCTTATAATTAACAATRCTTGGGGCTGGGGATGTGGCTCAAGCGGTAGCTCGCTTGCCTAGCATGCGTGCGGCCCGGGTTCGATCCTCAGCACCACATACAAACAAAGATGTTGTGTCTRCAGAAAACTAAAAAATAAATATTAAAATTCTCTCTCCCCCTCTCTCACACCTCTCTCTTTAAAAAAAAAAAAATACTTTGCTGTAAAAAACTTAAGTGGGCAGACCTCATATTATCTGTTCTTACCATAATGAAAAACATTTTAAATTTAAAAAGATGGACACAAGAGCAAAGGAATTCTGAGACAAACCATTCTGATATTGACCTATAGCCTTAATAGAAACTTTAATGCTCCTCAAGATGTCTTCTGCTTCTGCAGATAAATGGAAACCTTAGTGCACTCCTAGCTCTTGATGTTCTGTATCAAAGTTATTATTTAACTCAAATACTCATCCAAAACAATTTTTTTGTTGTTGCTTGAACACAAAGGAAATTAATATTCTTACAAGATATTTATAGTAGTTCTAATTTCCACATGGCTGGATCTATCCCAGGTCCCCTTGGCTTTACCACAAAGGATCCCTGCACGTGGTACGCAAAAGAGGCACAGAGAACCCTATATGTAACTCATGCTGACTTAGCTATCTATCATTGTTCATATAATAATCATCCCAGAGAAAAGTAGGGGGTGGGATAGGACTCTGAACGAGACCCACAAGGGACAAATGGAGGGGAGAAGTTACCCTCTAAAGGATTTGGGGAAATGTTTAGGAACTACAACCAAAGAGATAAAAGCTATAGCTATGCCATTCAAACTCCTGTGCTCTCATAGTGGTTAACTTTTGTTAATCAGCTACACTTTCACAGTGGCATTTTTACACAAACAACTTTTATTTCAAAGTAGTTCAGTCAAGTTATRGAAACATGAGTTCATTTAACCAGACTATATGGCATATTGCATATGAAGTGTTTCTATCTTTACAGTCATGGCCATTAAGAAAAAAATAATGACTGTCTTTATGTGGTATCTAGGGAAACCTAGAAGCAGGTCAGTCATTTGAGGCAGTTGCTCATGCTTTCAAATCCACCCTCCAACTAAACAAACAAGTGCAAGAATACACAGGTTGATTTGAGGGGGAAAAAAAGGGTTTTTTTTTTCACAATTAATAAAATGATTGCATCACTATAGAATTAAAGTACAAAAATGGATCATCCCAACACTGTATCTAGCACGATATATTTCTTTCTTTAAAACTGGAAGTCTAAAACATTACCAACCAGTGTCCATCGTACCATTTCAGTTCCCCAATCTGTGAAATGTTCTTTACATCTAATTTCTATGTTGCCAAATAYAAAGGTAATGAGCTGACACAAACATAAGCAAGAAAAAACTATTTCATGAGCACCCACTATGATATAGGCATTCCTCTAGGTGCTAAAGATATAGCAGAGAACAATTTTCCCACAAGAACTTAACAAGTCCACCTTCATCTACTGGTGATCCTACACAGCCACAGTCACGAGATTTTTTTCCAATATGCTTCTCTATTAGTTCTGACTGACCTCAATTTACTTCAAGATTCCTCAAAGTAATTCTTCCAGTACTATCTAGAAATTCATCAGTAACTGTTCTATTAACTGTGAAGTAGCATCTTCAAGRTTGGTACTTTGATTATTTCTTAAATGGAGCTTTTACTGGTAATTCCCCGTCAATGATATTCCTATCACATTTCCCAGTGAGATATTCAACTTTTCTGCAATGGCTAATTTTCTACAACTGAAGAAAAGAAGGTGGGGAAAACAGTTGACTAAAACGCCTTAGATCATAACTCTTTAACTGCAGTTTTTATTTTGAAACTCAATTCAAAATCCCTAAATTATACTTTGACATTTAAAGACAATCTTTGAGTAGCTATAAAAGCAGACAAAGTCTCTTACTTCTTTTGTTGTTAATATTTTAAACATTTTCCATTTGTGAGATATAAACAGATTTAGGAATTTGGGCATATATAAATATTTCAGAATTTCTGCCACAGCTTAGCAAAATTTATAAATCAATATTCATCAGCAGTTGGGTAAGCAAAAAAATAAAAATAAAAAACAAGGTTTTTACTGTTTTCCCAAGATGGTTCTGTATTATTCACCACTGTATCTGTCTACCTTAAATTYCTTTGTATGTTCACTTACAGGTTATTCTGTCCTGAAGTAAATATTGTAAAATATTACCCTTTATTGTACTTACTTCTAATGATTTAATAACTGGTCAGTATCCCTCACTAGTAAGACCAACATATTATAATATGTGCACATAAGGATACAGTTTTGTCTACTTGGAACCACCACTCCCTCCCAATCACCAGCAGTCCAGGAAAAGAAAAAACATACTCTGAACTACTGCTCAATTCTCATTTGAGCAGATTTTACTTACACAAAACTATACTCTAGAAATACCTCAGTAGTTGGAGGATAAAGGGCATTTTTAAACAAAACATAAAATAAAATTCAATGTCTAAAAAGAATGACAAAATGTGATACACACTTAACAACAACAAAAAAACTTTATTGAGTTACAAATTTTAAAATGGATCACTTAATTTAAAAGTGGGACTATTTTAACCTTATTATCCTTAAACTCATTCTTTCAAAAATGCACTTTATTTCTAAAATGAACAAAAGGTTCAACTATTAACTGACAAAGTAAATGTGGGTTAGTGCCCGTGGTCCAATCCTTAACATGGACATCAAAATGATTTGCAGTAAGAAACAGGAAGAGAGTAAGCAAAGGAAAGTGCAAAGCATGTATGGAGGTCTTTCTATGGTAACTGACAGAATGAATCTTCAGCATGATAAACTGTACACTTTGCAATAGTGGCCTTTTAAGATGTGCTAGAGCAATTGTAACCAAGTAACCAAGGTGAAAACTATTTTTTTCTTATTCCTAACATAACAAATGGTAAACACATAAACAAAAAAAAAATAAAACTTAATCTTAAGATACATACTGTGAAAGGACTCACTCTAATTCATGTTTTCAGTTGATTCAACAATCTCATTCATCATATAACAGAACAAGTCTGCAAATAAGGCTCAGAACAAAAATATCTTCTATCACCCTCCATACAGAAAGACCACAGCTTTAGTGATTCCTACAATCCTAATGCTTAATCCTTGGTCAGTATAGATTTTCAAATAAAATCAAGTCATGAACTGTTAACAATACTACTCTACACTAAGATGCTAACATTTTCTTCCCAGTACATCTTCCTACGAGGAAAAAAAAACTGTCAGAAGCTTTTGCTCTTTGCCTGTAAGGAGATTTATGAAAAACCCTATGAAACTGTAACAATGTTCTTTTGTAAAACTAAAATACACTACCAAGTCAAACAAGTAAATAAACAACAAACCAAACTGATTTTAACAAAGTCAAGTCATGTTTCCAAAAGTAAAATCTATTAAGAACAATTAATATACATGTACAAGAAATCACAAGAAATGATGATCACGGTTAGTTACAGATGCAAAAATAATATGTAATTAGCCCAAGCATGTGAACATAATAATTAAAATCAAATTCATATGCTAGTTCGAATATTATGTACAATTTAGATAAGATGGTCAAGTATTATGTGAATACAAACCATATTTGGTAAACCTAAACTTATATTACCTTTTTTCTTCCTTTAATATTTGTAGGTACATGCCAATATGAAAAAAAAATGTAATTTTTATTTATGTATTACAGAACAATAGAATTTCTACTGTATGCTTCAGACTGTAAAAAAATTAAGGAACATTTTCCTTTAAGAAGAAAAAAAATAAAAATAAATTGCTAACAGTTTGATAAAAGTTTAATATCAACTTACTTGTAAAAATGGGGGGGAAAGGATTGAAACAGATATCATACAATTATTGTATGATCTCCCTACTGATCTGAAACTACAGAAGGCATTGAAGGAAGGGATGTTAGGTCAAAAACAAACACTAACCCCACGGGATGTATGCTGATTTAAAAATCTGACTTTCAAGAAATCTAGTTGTTTGGCCTAGTTTTAAAGCTAATTACAAAATCCATTTTCTTAATGGTCCAGATCCAAATTCTTCCAACTCAACAGAACTGTCAAAAGAGAAGAAATATTTCATGAGACCTTTCAATGCAAACAAGGGGGCATATATTTCCCATTAACATAATATACACTGTAAATTGTTTTTTTTTTTTAATGAGACATTTTTGGAAAAGATTTTTCACACATAGTAGTTACCTATCTTAAGGATTTGACTTAAGAATTTGACAACTTAAAATTTGACAACTTAAAATAGATAACCAAAAATATATATATATATATGAAACATTTTAGGTTTTTTTTTCTTGTTGTTACTGGGGATTAAGCCCACGGGCACTCAACACTGAGTCACGACCCCAGCCCTTTTCTGTATTTTATTTAGAGACAGGGTCTCACTGAGTTGCTAGGGCCTTGCTAAGTTGCTAAGGTTGGCTTTGAACTCTCATTCCCTCCTGCCTCAGCCTCCTTAGCTAGTGGGATTTTTACTAAGGACCTCCCTAGCCACTTAAAAAGTTTTTATTAAATGACTCTCTTGATTTTAGGTTGAAACAATAAAAATTGTGCTGGGCACAACAGCATATGCCTATAATCCCAGACACTCAGGAGGCTGAGGCAGGAGGACTGCAAGTTCAAGGTCAGCCTCACACTTCAGTGAGGCTCTAAATAACTTAGTGAGACCCTATCTCAAAATATAAAATAAATAGGGTTGAGGATGTTGCTGAATGGTAAAGTGCCTCTGGGTTCAATACCCAGTACCAAAAAAAAAAAAGTAAAAATTCCTACCAGCTTTCTACATTAACCTGAACTTTCTTAAATTCATTAGGCACTATGTCATATATTCTGCTAATTAAGTTTGTATTCAAAGCAGCACAATCCATGCTCATAATAAAAAACTGACCAATTATGCAAAACAAATCTAAGAGAAATAGCTGAACAAGTCAAGTTTGCTCAACAGGATTGAAATTTAAAAAAAAWAATAATAATCAATGTCTCTCTCCTAAATATCAATGTAAAACATTCACCAACTTAGAAAGGTAAGAAACACTGCTCAAAATCATGAAACCCTTTCAATATTGGTAAATTCTTCATCTCAGAATCAAATATTTGTATATAATAAAATAGGTACTGGACTTAATCTTTAGCCCCCAAAGTCCCAAATTATATTTGTGGAAGTTTATTTGTCTGGCTTCCAATACACTTCTAATTTCCAGAAAATGATTCAACCTATGTGAATAATTCAAAATTAAGTATTAAACCGAAGTCTGTAAATGTAGCCAAAAAATAAATAAATAAATAAATAAACCTTTTAAAATACTTCACAAAAACTGATAAGAACACCCAGCATTTTGGGGACTGAGAGGCATTTTACATACATTATCTCTACTCTTCATCACAACCTTCAATGCCAGTATTATTTACATTTAATACATAAGAAAATGACAATTAGTGATGGTATGTGCAAGAGATTTTAAAATCAGTTTATATGGTTCCAAAGACATGAAAGCCTCCCAACCCTACACCCGTAACATCCCTGCCTATATTTACAGGAAAAGTATTTTTGGGACTAAGGTGTAACCCTTCTCTCAATTTTTAATTTTATTTTTGTAGCTCACAAAACCATTCAAGAATGAGTTATTTAAATAATATAAACTTATCCGTGAACCTACGTCAAAACCTACAGGCAACATTAAGGTTTAGTGAAAATGCCCATCAAACCAGAAAACTGCTCACCTATAATTCCTAAAATAATAAAAATCATTGGGCTTAAGTTCAACAAGATAAAGAAAGTTTTACTGAATAAAAATCAATTAAAATAAGTAATAAACATATATATTTTCTGGGAGTTCRAGAAGAAATGATGTAATGAATATAGGATCTTGTTATGATAATTGGACATTTAAGATTCTCTCCTGGGGACTAGGGAGGTAGCTTGGTGGTGGAACTTTTGCTTAGCATGTGCAAGGCCCTGGGCTCAAGGCCCCAGTACCTAACAAAAGTGGGGGGGTGGGGGGAGGATTCTCTTCTAGTTATTCTTGTCCCTACAACAAAACATATATAACAAGGAGGTAAAATCAAGTTAATTATTTCTAGTAGGATATAAAATAGCTTATTCCAATACAAGTAGTTAATAAAGGACTTCTACATTACTGAACAGTGTGAGCATACATGTATAATTTAGATACTAGGTAAAATTATTAAAAGACTAAAAAAATTGTTCTATTATAAATGAGTATAATATGAATTCAAGAGGATGCCATACCTTCCATCGATTTCCACATTCATTACAAACAACAAATGTTGTCATTGGTTCATCTGCACTTCGGGTTTGTACCTGCAGAAAAATCAAGTGAAAGATATTACTTAAGTAGTACTATAAAAAAAGGAAAACCTAAAGAATATCAACATATAGACATGTAATTATCACAGTGGTACCACAATAAAATGTGTAAGAGTCTAGAAAAAATCCAAGTAAACAAAATAATATCAAAGAAGCATGTATTTCCAAACTTGATTTTTCTAAACCCATTTCCTCTTTCATGTTTAATTTATCCCAGATAAGTAGGGGAATCCTCTAAAATCACCCATTAAATATAAATAGTTAATGTGAAAAAACATTCATCAGTAACAAATACAAAAATGTACAAATTTAAACATGTTGATATTCTCTTACAAAGTGGCAAAGATGTAAAAACTAAGAATATTTCATTCTGACATGTAACTCCTACAACCTCCTAAATTAAGCAATAAGGTTAAGAATCTTAAATAACTATTGTCTCTAACCTATCTATTCTAAGACGGTAATTAGAAACATGAAGACCTATGTATAAGAATATTTGAAAAATCCAATTTTATAATAGCAAAAGTGCTGGAAACAAGTATCCAATAAGGAATTAATGTACTAAAAGTGCATCCATCTGATGGAATATTATATAGCCATTTGGATTTTGCAAAGGATCATGTTTAACAATTAAGAAGAAAATGCTTACACTTATAGAATTTACATGAAAAGTGAATAAGACAGTTTTGGCAGCATATACCTCCAAGTATATGTAAAAAGAAAATCACAAAATATTGCAAACATTAAAATATTGATGATTATTCTCTATAGATGGCAGATAAAAGGGTGATTTTAAATCTCTTATTCATGGGCTAGAAGTACGTAGCTCAGAAGTATGGCATGTGCTTAGCACACATGAGGATATGGTTTTAATCCCTAGAACCACCCACCACCCCCCAGATTCTTGGTCATATATTTCTGTTATTTTCCTAAATTTATTTATACTTACTTATTGAAGTAAATTAATATTTACTTCAATAAGTAAATATTATTATGTTGCATAAATAGTTTATATGCTCATTTGATCTAGCAATTATACTGCAGAGTACATAATCAAAAGAAATAATGAAGTAATTGTAAATTCACTTACATATCAACATTACTCACATTTAAATTTTTTGTATCAGTTATTTTCATGAGAACTTTGGAAGTTTTTTTTTAATTGAAAAGAAGTAATTTTTTTGATTTTAAGAAATCATACTAGGCTGAGGTTGTGGCTCAGTGGTAGAACACTGGTCTAGCATGGTATGAGGCACTGTGTTCAATCCTCAGCACCACATAAAAATAAATAAATAAAATGGAGTTACTATGCCCATCAATTAAAAAAATTAAAAAGAAATCATACTGGGCTGGGGATGTGGCTCAAGTGGTAGCGCGCTTGCCTGGCATGCGTGCGGCCCGGGTTCGATCCTCAGCACCACATACCAACAAAGATGTTGTGTCCACCGAGAACTTAAAAATAAATATTAAAAATTCTTTCTCTCTCTCCTCTCTCTTTAAAAAAAAAAAAAAAGAAAAAGAAATCATACTGACTTCACATTTAGACTAGGTTCCTTCTGTTAAAAGAATTTTTTTTAATCTTAGCTGTTTATAACCTGATAATGTAAGATATATCACTCCTACTTTTCTGAGCTTTTTCTACCTGACTAGAAGAAAATAGCGCAATTAAAACGCAGAATTTTCTGAGACCACTTCTATCACATACATGTTCAATTCAATAACTGTCAGTAGTAAAACTTCTACACATCAAAACAATAAATTATAAGACACACAAGAATTATGGCCTGTTTACAGAATACCCAATAATCAACTGCTGATGAACTGTTAAAATACAAGTCATCTTGGCCTGGGGATGTGGCTCAAGCGGTAGCGCGCTCGCCTGGCATGCCTGCGGCCCGGGTTYGATCCTCAGCACCACATACAAACAAAGATGTTGTGCCCGCCAATAACTAAAAAATAAATATTAAAATTCTCTCTCTCTCTACCTCTCTCTCTTTAAAAAACAAAAATACAAGTCATCTTATTAAACAGCGTATATTTTATTTAATTAACTGATACAGTTTTCAAAGCAACTATTTCCATGAAGGTATGATTTTAACAATTTATTTTTTCTTAACTGCAATCAGCATTAAGAAAAGCATTCTTTCATCTTAAGACATATCATCTCTTTTTGAAAATTATCAAAGTACTGGTAATTATCCTTGGTACCTATAAGCATTGTTAATATGAAAATAAGAATCTATAAATAATCACAAACCTGTGTGTAAGTGCAATTCTTCTTTTTACATTTACCACATGTGAACAAGTCAGTCTGAGTGCCACCGGTCTTCGCCATCTGATGCTCTCTGATGGCTTCTTTGGTCAAGTTTTTCCGCATCTCTTTGAGCTCATCACTAGCCATTTCCTATGACAGAGGTGGAAATACCACTCAGTTACAGAAATCTTCTATACAATATGTATATCCTATGATCTAAATGCTTCAATGTTCAATTAGCTTAATAATAATAATAATAATAATAATCAGCATTTAAAAGTTTAAGAAGTATAAAATTAATATTTTTTCTTAGAGAACTTATAAGAGTTTGCTTCCTTTAACATTTTCTTCAAATGCTCATAAGTTTGCATGTGAATACTGGAATTAATTGTTGTTTAAAGGCTATAAACAATGTAAACCTGTAACAATGAGTACCTATAGTATCCAGATTGTGGTCTCTAAATACCACAGCCCAGAAGGAAGCCAGGGACCTTTGGAGAAATTTAAGCCTTGGGTAAGAAGMAAAAGGATATGTCAGGGTCATGTTCTGTACCAAAAATCACAGAAGATACCAGAGAGTATCACAGTTGAGTCCAATGGAAACAGAGGTCAATGTGAAGTAACTCCTATCAGCCAAAAATAGGACCATTTCTTATCCATTAAATTAAATTACTGTAAAGAACTAATCCCACGGGATAAATAAAAAGTCACAAGTCTATGACAATACTTAAGAGAGGACACATATATTCAAAAACAAGCTGGGGAGAGTGGCATACACCTGTAATCCCAGCGGCTCAGGAGGCTGAGGCTGGAGGATAATGAGTTCAAAGCCAGCCTCAGCATTGGTGAGGCACCAACCAACTATGTAAGACCCTGTTTCTAAAATAAAAAATACAAAATAGAGCTGAGGATGTGACTCAGCRGTTGAGTGCCCCTGAGGTTCAATCTCAGTACAAAAAAAAAGAAAGCCATCACTGGCAATTAACCAGGGCACCAACTCCTGATTCTGGTAACTGATAACCAATGGAAAAGACTTATACATTGATCCTGACTTTCCTACCCAAACCAACAGCTTGAGTTTATAAGGAAAAGTGCTTCTTTAACAAAGAAACCTTGCTAATTATTGTAAAAGGAATGACATAATTTAAATCATTCATTTGTAGTGGTTATTTTATTGAAATAACCAATTCAGGCAAGGATCATCAGTGGATGAATTCATCAACTGAAAGTTCAATGGAGAGATTTACAGTGAACAAATCACTCTAATTATCCAAACCCAAATGACCAATCTTAACACCCTAAGAAGAGATCAATACATTATGAGTCTCCTGCTGTGAGGAATCTACAATAAAAAGCATCACTTATGAAGAAGTATTTATACAGAAAAAAAATGAAGCTTGAATATAATCAAGACTATTGAACTAGCTTCCAATATTACAGAAAATAGGGGGGATAGAAAAAAATCAAATTACATGAGAAACAGATACAGTTGTACAGACAAAATCCATAATGTGGGATGGGCTAGGGTTGTGGCTCAGCAGTAGAGCACTCGCCTAGCACTCGAGGGACTGGGTTTGATCCTCAGCACTACATAAAAATGAATAAATAAAAGAAAGGTATTGTGTCCAACTACAACTAAAAAATAAATATTTTTTTTAAATCCACACAAAGTGTGGATACAGAACTGATTTCTTTGAAAGGGCAATATCGTAAAGGGAAATTTTTTTAAAAAGCATTAGAAAGGATATAAGGGACAGGAAAAGAATAGAACATGAATATGAGCTAGATATTAATAATACCAATAGGTTTGTTAGATGTGGAGATGACATGCTATCTCCCAAATATAAAGAGGTTTAAAAAAAGATATAATGTCTGAGATGTGCTTGAAAATAAATTCAAGGGAAAAAGGGGGGCGGGCAATGAATAATTAAAAGGGTGATAAGTTCTCAAAAATACTGAAAGTAGGGCTGGGGATGTGGCTCAAGCGGTAGCGCGCTCGCCTGGCATGCGTGCGGCCTGGGTTCGATCCTCAGCACCACATACAAAGATGTTGTGTCTGCCGAGAACTAAAAAAAATAAATATTAAAAAATTCTCTCTCTTTCTCTCACTCTCTCTCTCTCTCACTCTTTCTTTAAAAAAAAAAAAAAAAAAACCGAAAGCTTCCGTGATGGATTCATGAGATCTCACTGTACTATGTTCTCTGCTTTGTAAAGCTTTAACATATTTTAACAAAAATTTTAAAAAGAATTTTTAAAATATAGCTATTTTGATTAGCTATGCAGAAAAACAAATTCACTCTTGGATGCCCAATAGATTGTAGACACACAATAGTTATTGTCAATGAATAACTGTCTACAAATAGCAGCCCTATGAATTTCAATTTTTCCATCATTTCCCATATAAATTTAAGAAAAAAAAATCAGTAAGATATAAACAATTCCTGAGTGTTTAACCATGCAAAAAGGCTTAAAGGATACAAAAGGCTATTTGTAATTAGAGTCATTAAAACGATAACATTTTTAATTTTAAATAATGATTTAAATATAGCACCAAAAGAACATTAATGGTACAGAAGGAGCAAAACATTAATGTCAACAAAGTCAATAACATTAAGTATTTGCCTAGTATTTATGTATCTATCAGAACAGCTCACAGAAATTATATATGTAATATTTATATAAAGCCTTATGATATACTTGACATTATGCAATCACATCATAGAAACTTAATATATAGGTATGCTCACCTCTGCTGTCATCCTAGCAAATAAGTCGGGAGGAATATTCCCACAGAGTACATTTTTCCTCAAATTTGGATTTTTTGCATCTTTGAGATTTGATATCCTACTTCGTACTCTATTTTTGTATTTCATGTCTGTATTCCTTATTTCTTGATATATAGGTACTTGGCTGTTAAGGAAAAATGGTTAAATTATAAAGATAAAACAATTTTTTCCTTTTCTGCCAAAATAAGAAACCTAAAAATTTCTAAGGAGTTCACAAAAACTGTTTCCAATTTAATGAGTTAAAAAAAAGAGCACTGTTTCTGATTCCTTGATTCATCCATAATTGACAAATAATTATCAATACTTTTATTACACTATAGACAAGTAATTTTTTTTCTTGTTTAATCAAAGCAGCATGCAAATCAACAAGTAACTCAGGTATTCAATCCAAGTGAACAAATTTTTGAAAAACTAGCTTGAGATGACACCAGCTCTAACTTGCCCAAATCTGTATTCCACCAAGAATCCTAAGTCTAATGGCCTTGTCCACACAGTTCCTTGGGGCTTTCTGAAAAGAGACCACAGTAGCCCTGGAGGTTTATTTCCTTTCCCAGCTCAGCATGAAGCTAGTTTAGCAGGTTTCTCTCCATCAAGGTCAGGCCACAAGCAGAGGCTGAGCCCTGAAGGAACTCCCTCCCTAACAACGAAACAAGAAAGAGTTCCATGTCCTACTGTTACCTACATATTCCCTACTCCCCTCCCATATGAATGACCTGTATCCCAAGGCCCTTTCCGTGGTGCCCAGCATGAACATATTTCCCTCTAGGATAATGAGCTAAGGAAATTATGTGTGCTCTGTTGAGGTTCCTCAACAAGAAATCTTCACACATAATAGTAAAGGAGTGTGTGTGTGTGTGTGTGTGTGTGTGTTTTCTCTGCCATTCTGCACAAATGAAATTACAAACTACATTCTCAATTTGCAAGGCAGAAAAAATAAAAATGCCATCAACACTAATGTGATTTGTTTTTGAATGAGAAGAAAAAAAATGGAATAAACTGATATGAAAGTCCTTCTCTTTCTCCTTTCAAATCAAAACAATACTGAAGAATAAACCTTAGAATTATATACAAGAAGAAAAAATTACAATTATCCTAATAGGTTACTTAAAACAATTACAAATAGACACACAAAGGATATCTTCCTCAATCTGAGATCCTAGTTCTTCCTCATCAGCTCCAATAGCAATGTAGTCATCTAAAAACAGGCATAAAATTGTTAATTTATTGCAACATATTAAAAGAAAATTCCAGTACAAGAAAGTGAACTGCATTCTTATTTCTTCAAACCCATTTGCCTCATATAAAAATCCTTTTAGTTTAGTTTAATTAGAATCTGGTCTCTTACTACTCACTAGACTCCTCCTTTTAGATTCACCTAATATCCACAGTGCTCCTGCATTGATGATTCCTTTTCCCTCAGGGATGGGGAAGTAATTCATACAGCAGGCAATTCCTCATTTCACAACTCCATGAATTCTGGTTATTCCAGCAGAGAGTACAGAAAGTTAAATAAAGAACTGTCTTGTCTCCTGTGACTCAGAGTTCAGACTCGGGGTTCAATGCAAAGAAACCATTCATCAGCCAATCACATATATGGATACACTCAACAGACTCCTATACAAATATTCAAAAGGATAAAAGGAAATAAATAGAAACTAGGAAGAAAAAAAGAGACAGTAAGGAATTCAAACTAGAAAAGGCAGAAAAAGGAAATAGGTCCAATTAGCTAAGGTTGAGCATAAAGAAAAGGAAAAGTATAAAATGACAAACATTCCTGCATATGAAACTTTTTCTTTTCTCCTTTTTTATCAGTRAGCCAGCCCTTTTCATTTTTTTGAGACAAGTTCTTGGCTATGGTTGCCCAGGCTGACCTTGAACTGTGACTCTCCTGCCTCAGTCTCTCCAGTTGTTGGGATTATAGGTATGCACCACCATGCCTGGTTTAAAGTCAAAATTTTACATGCTAAGACTAAATACCTTCAAATATAATTAAGTTCTCATATATAAATCAAGATTGCTTTTCCACTTAAAAAAATCAGCAAATGGAATTATGAATACAAAACTTACACAATGTATCTAACATTGTGTACTAACATTTCAGAATTCAGTATTGTTAACTCTCAATCTAAGGACAGAGTAAGTAGTCTGCATATTAAATGCAGGTAACAAAATATTTGAGGGGGAAAGTTTAAAATTTCTACGATCAGGGAAAACATTCATATATTAGAATGAATCTACTTCTTGGAATTACATAGTAATAAGCAGATGTCCCAGTCTCACTCTTTAGGGACTGCTATTAGTAATAACTCCTCCCTAAGCTAAGCAGTGGTGGGCAGCTACAATCAGGATGGTACTTGCAAAACAACAATATGGAAGTGGATAAAGTACTAGTGGTGGTGATGAAAGGGATGGGAAGTAAAATAACATACACTAAACTTACCTCCTGTTCGGAGAGCTGCAGCAAGCATCTCCCTACATTTTAACCGCACAGAATCAGAAGTGCTTGGTGCCCGAGGAAAAGATGAAACGTAAGTATCTCGAGCATTTGTCTCATCCTTCCTGCTGCTTACATTGCCACTGGAACTACTAAAATACACGTGCCAAAAAGAAATTTTTAAAAAAACTTTAAAGTAACAATACTATCACTCTCTGAAAACAAAACTTCAGAGCCTAAATAAATATTTTAGTGACTTGTGTAAGGAAAAAAGTTGCCTGCATACACATTAAAAACTTAAGTGATTAAATTTAGTAAGGAGAAAAGTCTCATATCTTTTTTTAATTTTTTTTTTTTTTAGTTTTTTTTTACTTTTATTTATTTGTATGTAGTGCTGAGAATTGAACCGATGCCAGGCAAGTGCACTAACACTGAGTCATAGCCCCCCGCCCCTTGTGTCTTTTTTGTAAAAAGAATACCAAGCATTTTACCTTGACTGTCCTTTTAAACAATGAATAAAATTTTAATAGAGAAAATACACATTAAAACTCACGGCAATATATGAGAAGAATGGATCATGGTTTGAGGGGAAAGGCAAGGGGATGGGACCAAAAAAGTATGGAGGCTTGCTACCAAAATTACAGGGAGAAAAAAAAAATGTTTGAAAACCTCTACTCCAATTAGACAATGGTTTTCTAATGAGACAAAAATCTGATGAAATAAATCTTGAGATTATAARAAGGTCTGTTTAATTTCTCTCCATAAATACAAACTCCATCTGCACAGCAGGACAGTTTAATGACTTTCTAGTCAACTTAATCATTTCAATTGCTCTGATTAACTTGTTATATTAGATTTTCACAAAACAGGTTCTTTTAAAAATACTTTTCTGACTAGTTTCAATTCAGTTTTATCACACATAAGGTTATCTATCATAAACCTTCTTCTTTTTTTTCCCTTTGGTACTGGGGAATTGAACCCAGAGGCACTAAACCACCGAGCCACATCCCTAGCCCTTTTTTATATTTTATTTAGAGACAGGGTCTTGCTGAGTCCCCTAGGGTCTTGCTAAGTAGTTGCTGAGGCTGGTTTTGAACTCTCCTGATACTCTTGCCTCAGCCTCCCAAGCTGTTGGGATTCCAGGGGTACCCCTTCAGGCCTTGCCATAAACCTTTTTCAAAGACTGATTAAATCATTGTCCTTCATAGATCTAACCTGCTGCAAGGTTATACCTTCCATGTTTTCTCTCCAAAACACAACCACTGTTGAGAACAGGTTACAGTGTACAAAATTATCTAATTTCAGTCAATTCTTCCTGAAGCTTCCTATTATTTTATCTCTCTGTACTCGCAAAAAACCGTGTACACACAGGTTTGCAATGACTTTTCATACATTTTCCTTTAACCACACTAAGTTTCTTTTTGAGGAAAAAAAAGTTTTATTATTAAATAAGCATTAAACCAGAATTGTGAAGACAGAAAGATTGTCTCACCATTTATAAACATAGATACATGTTTTCAAGATACATAATAAATACTCCAAGAGGTCATGATAGAACTTCATAAGGGGCTGGGGACGTAGCTCAGTTAATAGAATGCTTGCCTCTCATGCACAAGGCCCTGGGTTCAATCCCCAGCACCACCAACAAAAAAAAAAAACTTCATTAGAAATACACTTACATGATATGCCTAAGTAGAAAAAGGACATTTGCCTCTCTTCAGGGGCAATAATTCAGTCCTCCTCCCTCTCCCCAAACTCTTCAGGAAAATAAAATGACACTGTCCAAAAACTTTCATGAATACATTTTGTTTACAGTTGTTTACATAGTTCATCCTAAAYTCACTGAGTAATGGGGTAACATTTACCTTAGCTATGTTGGCTTTATACAAAGAAAATATTAACTTCTTATATCATTATGATAGGAGGTAGCACTGCATCTTGGAGTGAGAGTCCCGGTGAAGTCTGGTTCTTCACCCACAGAAGCTGAGACCAGGCTAAGTTCTTAACAGCAAAAAAAATCTTAGGATTTTATCTTTTGTGTGTGTGTGTGTGTGTGTTGCTAAAGATTGAACTCAGGTCCTTGTGCATGTGAGGCAAGCACTCTACCAACTGAGCTATATCCCCTGCCCATGATTTAATCTTCTTTGTATCTTCAATATATAGCACAGTGTCTGTAAGCAGTAAATAAATGAATAAGTCAATTTTTTAAAAAATCTCCTTCTTAAACTGGGCGTGGTGGCACACGCCTGTAATCCCAGCAGCTCGGGAGGCTGAGACAAGATCAAGAGTTCAAAGTCAATCTCAGCAAAAGCAGGGCACTAATCAACTCAGTGAGATCCTGCCTCTAAATGAAATATAAAATAGGGCTGGGGATATGGCTTGGTGGTTGAATGCCACTGAGTTCAATCCCTAGTACTGAAAAAAAAAAAAAGAAAGAAAATCTTCTTCTTAGGGCTGGGTGTTGCTCAGTGATGGAGGACTGGCTGAGTATGGCCTGTGTTTGATCCTCAGCACCACAAAACAAATAAATATTACTTAAATAGGTGATCAATTAAATGCTTTTGCTTCTGTCCGTAGCCAAATGCCTAGCCCAGCCAATGGAAACTACTCAAGTGAACTGATGGAGCCATTTCTCACTTTGCTATTGCTGGCACCACTGCATAACATTCTGTTACCTCTTTCTAACCATTTAAGCACATAATTTTCTCAATTTCTTGTACTTAAAATGTAAAACTTCACTCAACTACAAATCATTTAGATCTAACCTTATATCTCCCTTCATAATAATTTCTTGAGTCCTCTTTTATTTCTCTGAGTATGTGTAAACATGTATAGCCTTCATACACAATAATTCTATGCGTTTGCAGATAGGCTCTACACCTAAACTTCAAGGACATAGAACTGATARAATGCATACTAAGAAACGACTCAGCTTTCAACATCTACTTAAAATGTTTATCTATATATGTGATAGACATAAAACCAGGGACCCTGAATATATCACAGCTGAAAACATGTTAAAAATTCATTAGGCTAGGGCCTCCAGTTTTCAAAAATATCAAGGTCAAGAAAGACAACAACAGACTGAAGAACTATTACAGATTAAAGGACATCAAAGAGAAATGACAACTAAATTCAATATATGATCTTGGACAGTATTTTTGAAGAAATATTTTCCCTTTGTAATAAATGAAATTATTGAGGTAACTGCAGAAATATGAATAAGGTCTATGATTACAAAATAGCATTTTATATATCAATGTTAATTCCCTGATATTGAAACTGTGCTGTGGTTATATGTAAGAAAACATATTGACATATATAAGGGTAAAAAGGGCAAAATGTCTGCAAAGCACTCATTTGGTTCAAAATAAAATTCATTCATATATACACACACACACACACACACACACACACACACACACACATGTATATGTGCATATACATATATAAATATAAGAGAAGCAATTGGGTAAAGAATTCTTTGTACTATTTTTCAATTTTTAAAATAAATTTGTATCATTTTTTAAATTTTTAGTTGTAAATAGACACAATCTTTCTTTTTTCCTTTCTTTCTTCATTTATTTATTTTTATGTGGTGCTGAGGATCAAACCCAATGCCTCACATGTGCTAGGCAGGTGCTCTACCACTGATATATAACCCCAGACAGCACTTTTTTAAAAGTCTGAAACTATCTCAAAATAAAAAGTTACAAGAAAAAAAAACTGCATAAATTTTATTAACAAACATTGTTTAACCCTACTTTTGGCTTACCTCTTTAAACATCAAATATAYTTAGTACTATAACATAAAATAACAAGTGTATGTGATATTAATAAGTGTTAATTAAAAAAATAAATAAGGAACAAGACAGGTATGATGGCACATGCCTATAATCCCAACAACTTGGGAGGCTGAAGCAGGAGGAGCCAGCCTCAGCAACTGAGTGAGACCCTGTCTCTAAATAAAATATGAAAAAAAAAGGGCTGGGTATGTGGTTCAGTGGTTGAGTGCCCCTGGGTTCAATCCCAGTACCAAAAAATAAAAAGTAAAAATAATAAGAAACACAGCCTGGTGCAGTGGTGCACACTTGTAATCCCAGCTTGGGAAGCGGAGGCAGAAGGATCATAAATTCAAGGTCAGCCTAGGCAACTCAGCAAGACCTTGTCTCAAATTAAAAAACAAAAAAAAATAGGCAGTGGCTGGGAGCAAGCACACACAAAGCTCTGAGTTCAATCCCCAAAAAAATCAAAAAAATAAAAAATTGTTCAATAAAAAATAATTATGTGATCAATTCTGAGGAACCCCTAAGAAATAAAATTAAAACAGAAGTAGCCTTAATGTCCTAAATACCTCTAACAATCTAGGTGGATCAAAAGTTCAGGGACAAAAAAGAAATTTGGAAGCCAAAAGCTAGAAGCAGAAGCTCTAAACCTGGGTGCCTCAGAAGTTAAAGGAGGAGCCTGTTAAAAACAATTCCTGATAGTTCCAGGATGAGGCCTGAACATTTAAGTTTCTAATAAGTTGCCTGGCAGTCCTTGATCTTCTTTGGACCACTTTGAGAACCACTTCTCTAAGTCAACATCAATAGTTAAACCACAAGCTTCACAAGAAATTGGAGAACTACTTGTAATCTATTACCTATACCAACATTAAGCAACATGTTGGATACTGCACAGTTCGTGGTATGCAACAGYAAAGAATAAATGCAAAGATCTTATAGAAGCCAAGGAACAATTTAAACCCCTTGTGGCTGAAATTCATATTTTAAGTTCCTATGATAAATGGCAAAATTTGGAAGGAAAAAAAAGCATAAAAATGAAAGTGATCCAGGGTACAAATAAATCCAAAAAAGAAATTGGTAAGTAGAGGAARTAACCATTTAAATCCCAAAGCACTACAGTCATTAACAATTCTATCAGTGCCTCTCCCAGGAATCCTATTCCATAAAACTTATTAAGCACAATGTTTTTATTTATGTAAATACAAAATTTGTTTTTATTTATGTAATCTACTACCTATCTTTTAAATTTCTAGGAAATCTTTCTAAAAACCTTGGCTATATACATTTACTAGTTTTATATGACTGGAAAACAGAAAGTAATGCAGATTTGTGATCAGAAGACCATTGAGAAATTGATAGAGTTGATAAAACTATCTGACTTTAACATAAATGAATTCCCAAAAAGTGAAATACCTTTCTTCTCTTGCTTCAGGGCTATTCTGTGATGTAATCGCAGGTTCTTTTTTCTTTTCTTCAGGGTCTTTATCAGTGGATGGTCCATCTGAAAATGTATGAAATCCCTTAGTTGTTAGTAACTGTTAAAAATAAAAACTGAAATACTGCATGTTAACAGGCTACTAACACAAGAAAAAAATTCTAAGTTACCCACCAGTAAATCAAGTTTATGGAAACTATTCTATTAGCATACACACTTGGGTATTTTTCAGAACCCATATTCAGTTAGCACTCATTTAGTAAGAATTACAAATTCGTATGCCAAGGGGAACCTAAAAGTTTAAGAGAAAAGTATACAGAACAAAGAGAAGGAAAGAATATGGGAAAAATACGAGCAGTCATTTTAAAAATGAAAGCATGTGTCAGGCATGGTGGCACACACCTGTAATCCCAGAGGCTCAGGAACCTGAGGCAGGAAGACCAGAGTTCAAACCCTGCCTCAGCAAAAGCAAGGCACTGAACAACTCAGTGAGACCCTGCCTCTAAATAAAATACAAAATAAGGCTGGGGATGTGGCTCAGTGGTCAAGTGTCCCTGAGTTCAAACCCCAGTACCCCCCCCCGACAAAATGAAAGCATGTGACAATACTGTTTTAATAATTTTTCATGAAGTCAAAAAATAAATACCCCATTTGAATCAAATATATGATATGTCAAGATAATTTAATGTTTTGCAAAACTAGTTAAAAAAAAGAAAGGCTATACCTAAAATATAAATATTTCTTTGACAGTAATAAGAACATTTAAATATAAAATACCTCAGGAATAGTAAGATCTACCTAGCATCCCTTCAATCTTAAATGATCTGTAAAGCAACATAAAATACACAAGCTTTAAGACTTACAGATGTAAAAACAATYAGACACTGTGAACAGGCTGATTTGATAAAATATTTTAGTACTGACAAACATTCACATCTAAATCAAATCTGCCTTGAAGATAGGTTTAGAAAATGTTTAGGCTTACTGTAGAAATTGCCCCACTTATCTATATTTTGCTCCCTATAAAAGTCTTAAGGGATACATAAAAAATTCTTTCAATTTTCACATGTCTCTATACAGAATACAAAAAGAATATATACTCAACTGGATATAAGGATCACCTAGGGAACTTTTAAACATACCCTCGTGCCAACCTCCATTCCATATCCAGTAAGTCCAAATCTCTGGCAGTAAGGTACAAGCATCATAATTTTTTAAAATTCCTCAGACAACTATGCCAGCTGGATGAGAAGCACTAATAGAGCTTTCTCTATTAGAGAAAGCATTAACAGAGCTTTCTGTATCACAATTGTACAATTTATCTTGTAAAGCACAGCTTTATCAAACCTAAAATAACAATTCAAGCCCTCTAGTATAACATGAATATACACTGAGTTTTCACATACTTTATTTCATTGATCCCTGTTATTCTCTATGATTCACCTTGAAAGCTTCAAAACCTAAAGATGGTACAGTACTGTGAGGCAGAAAACAAAGATTAATAATGACACRTGGCATGGACTAAGAAATAGTCCAAAAGTAATAGAAAAGACACTACTTAAAAAGGAAAGGTGATATAGCAATTAAATATGATTTAGCAAGGATCCAATGCTGCTAAAAGTGCAGTTAAAATTGATCTCCCATACCACCCTGGCACAGTAAATTCATATAATTCCTTTTGGAAAGCAGAGAAGTAAGAGGCATGAAAACAATTCCATAGGCAACACAGCACAGCCCCAGGAAACGTCTCAAGACTATATGCAGTCAGATCCTAGGTCAAGTATTCACCACTGATCCAACTGTGTGCAAGGTACCTAAGTGATCAGTACATTGGTTTCATCATACTGGGTTGTACTAAGGATTAAATGTAGTAATACATGTCAACAGTTAGCATATCCTAAGTATTAAAAAATGTGCTACTTACTAACAGTAGTAGTAAATCTTCTAGAAACCTAGCTAAGAATCTAAAGAAAAAGCTTTAGGCAGAACAATTATTTATTAAAAATTAGTTATAACAGCCATAACTTAAAAATAACAAACCTAACAATATGCAAGTGGTTAATTAAAATCAAAATATAGTCATTGGATTATTCTGAAACCAATAAAAATAACAGTTATGATAGAAAAACAAAATATTTTCATTAAACAGGTAACAGATGGGCTGGGGTTGTGGCTCAGCAGTAGAGCACTTGCCTAGCATGTACCAGGCCCTGGGTTCAATCCTCAGCACCACATAAAATAAATAAATAAATGAAGATATTGTATTCAACTACAACTAAAAAAAAAAAAAAAAAAGATAACAGGTATACATGAAGTGAAAGTAACATAACAGCTGAAGCATAATCTGTGCATCAGGGGGAAAAAAGATAAGAAATGCAGGCTGGGGATGTGGCTCAAGCGGTAAGGCGCTCGCCTGGCATGCGCGGGGCGCTGGGTTTGATCCTCAGCACCACATAAAATAAAGATGTGTGCCCACCGAAAACTGAAAAATAAATTTTAAAAAAAGATTAAAAATGCAATAAGATATTGATAATTATAGTCACAAATAGACAAGGATTTTTTTCTCCTCTAACTTCAAATTTTAATGAAAAGTAAATTTTCACAAAATAAGGTGTTTTTTGTTTGTCTGTGTTTTTTTGGTACTGGGGATTGAACCAAAGGGTGCTTAGCAATTGGACCACATCCCCAGTCCTTTTTTTTTTTTTTTTTCCTAATTCTTGTGATAGGGTCTTGCTAAATTGCCTAGGACTTCACCAAGTTCTGAGGGTGGCCTCAAAATTGTGATACTCCTGCCTCAACCTCCCAGGCTGCTGGGATTACAGGTGTGCACCAACACACCTAGCACAAAATAATGTTTGAAGAACCTGAATGCCAATAAACATAAGGGTAAATCTCCTTTAAATATAAAACCAAATGAGCAAAACTGCAACGTCTAATCTCCCACAAAATATATCTATCTGGGCTGGGGCTGTAGCTCAGTAGTAGAGCACTTGCCTACATGGGTAAGGCACTGTGTTCAATCCTCCAGCACCACATAAAAAAATAAATACATAAAATAAAGTTATAAAAAAATATATTTAAAAATACATATAGAAACCCTCTTTCTGTGAGCAAAAATGTGTGTGTGTAAAGTTCTCAGTGAACTTTCCATGACTAATCTTTTTTTTTTTTTTTTTTAGTTGTAGATGGACATGATACTTTCATTTTATTTGTTTACTTTTATGTGGTGCCAGGGATCGAACCGGGTGCCTCATGAATTCTAGGTAAGCACTCTACCACTAAGCCTCAATCCCAGCCCTCTATGACTAATCTAAATTACTTGAAAATACAGAAAAAAAATTAAATAAATCATGAATCTAGAGTTTCCACCTGTCTTTGAAGACCAGATAAAATCCTTTTAAATCTTTTAAAAAGATTTTATTCTGGAACAATTTCAAATTTGCACAATGTAATAAGAGCAACACAAAGAAATTCCATGTATGTATTACTGAGATTCTCCAACTACTAACATTCTGTCACATTTTCTTTCTCCTTCCTACCTCTATTTATAGACATAAATGAAAATATGTACACACACAAATTCTYAGTGTTTATAAACTTATTTCTTTTATTTAAAATTAGGTAGCAGGGGGCTGGGGTTGTGCCTCAGCAGTACAGCGCTTGCCTAGCCTGTGCGAGGCCCTGGGTTCAATCCTCAGCACCACATAAAAACTAAACAGATAAAATAAAGATATTTAAAAAAATAAAATTAGGYGGTAGATATCATGTACTTTTATTCCACTACTTCAGTGTGTTTCCTAAGAATAAAGACACCTTTCATATAATCAGAGAAAACAACTAGCAAGTTCTGCCAATTGTCCTAATAATCATCTTTTGGGAATGGTTTTCATCCCTTTAAAATCTAATACAGGATCATGTACTACACTCATTTTTCTTAATAGGCTTTTACATTTTTACAGGCGTAAATATTATCAAAGCACTGAATAGGGCTTGCCAAAAGGAGCCAAGATCCAGTTTGAAGGGGTAATCACTTTTCAAATCTGGGACAATTCAATATCAAAAAAATCTCAACCATAATAGATTATGAGTCTACACTAATTACAAAAAATCACTGGGAGGTAAAAGGAAAGTGCTTTCTTAAGTGTAAAGAGACTTATAAATATTGAAGTAGAAGAGTCAGAACATTCCACTTTTATAGCCATCACTATAAAGACTGGTTTGGGTGGCATTAAATTGGGGGAGAGCAATCTGATAAAATGCAAGATAATTTCAAGGTCTTATTATGTCTCCCACAGAATGTCTTTACAGGAAAAAAAAAAATCAACTCTATAGTGTATACCTTGACTGAGTGTGATACCTTGAGAAGGATATAACACTGGTAAGCAATATTCCAACTGTGGATGTACAACCTGATCTAATCACTAGAAAACAGCACATAACCCCTAAAGAGGAATATACTATTAAAAGGGGGGGGGGTAGGAAGGTGCTTTATGTTCTTCAAAATTTCAATATCATAAAAAATAAAAGAATAACTTCAGATTAAGAAACTAAATAACTGTTCATGGGCTGAATTCTGTCCTGGACAAGTGGGGAAAAAAGCTACAAAAGACACGGATTGAGACAACTGATAAAACYGGAACATGAACCACAGATTAAAATATTATACCAATGTTAAAAGGACTGGGGATGTATCTCAGTGAACATATCTTTCCCAGCATATCCGAGGCACTGGGTTCAATCCCCAGTACCTAAGAGCAAAGAAATTATACGGAAAACAAACAAAAAGAAAGAAAACAATGTTAAATTTCCTATCTTTCCTATATTATGGTTATATGAGAAAATAAGCCTGTTCTAAGGAAATATCACTTAGGTTTTACAGGGAAAGAGCATGTGATATGTCAATCTCCCCTCAAATGATTCATAAAGAATAAGAAAAGAAGGCAAGAGAAAGAGATGATGATGATAAGGACATGATACATGCTGAATATCAAAAATCAATGATCTGGATAAAGAAAAATATAAAATATATAAAGTTCTTTTATTATTCTTGCAAGTTTTATATAAGTTAAAAAATTATTTCAGCCTGGGCATGGTGGTACATGCCTATAATCCCAATGACTCGGGAGACGGAGGCAGGAGGAATTCAAGGCCAGCCATGGCAACTTAGTGAGACCTTTTCAAAACAAAAAGTAAAAAGGGATGATACAGTATCCCTAGATTCAATCTCTAGTATCCAAAAAAAAAAAAAAAAAAAAAGTTTTTTTTCAGTGCTGGGGTATAGGTCAGTGGTAGAGCGCTTGCGCAATATATACAAGGCCCTGGGTTCAATCCCTAGTATCATCAAACAAAAAAAAAAATTTTTTTCCCCTTTCCTCACAAAGTTTGTAGAGCCTTTCCCTTGCAAGAAAATTCTTCTTAAAGTGCTTATTTAGTTGTGTTCCAAGTCAAGAGAGTTGAAATGACTAGCCTAAAGAGCAAAAATTTCAGAGATTAATATAACCTTCCCTTATCCTTATTATGAGACACTGGTTTCAGTACATCTAATTTTATAGAGGGAAAAAAAATGTGACAACCATTTGACAAATCAGAACATCAAAAATATATGTAAGGAAAGATCAATTATACCTAATAACTTTTTCCAGGATTTGATGAGAGATTTTGCTAAAGATGTAACTTCTTCATCTGTACTCTGCTTGCGAATAGCATTAACTGACATTCCAATTCTTGTGGACTGCAAGGCAACAACAAAAAAAAATTTGTACACCAATTATTTCAAACAATTAGTATTTCACCCAAACTTTACTTTTACTCAGATTTCTGTTTCTACTTTAGAATAAAATCACACTTCAATTATTTGAATTCTTATAATAGCATACTATATGGACTTAAGGTATATACATCTTTACATCAGAAACTGAACTTATCTATTTCCTATCACTGAGATCTGCAAGTAGTCAATGTGCTACCATAAGAAGGCATGTTAACAAATGAAATCAGTCTTTCCACAAAGGAGAATTGAGGAAAAAATATAAAATGTATAAGGAATGCTGAAACAGTCACTACCAACATATGCACCCTTTAGCTTCTGTACATTCTTCTCCACATAGTACTTCATAGAACATCTGCTGCAACTTAGAATGAAACTATTCAACAGAAATTACCACCAACAGACTTAAAAGGGTTTTTTATATTTGGAGTATGGGGGATCTGTAACAAGCAAACAATCATAATTATTTAAATGGATGGACTCCATTTAAATATAGATAAAATTATTCACAGGTGCTAAAACTATGTGCCCAGGATTATATCCAAAGCATCTACATTCATTAATTTCCTACAACCCTTCAAAGTTCAAATCATTATCCTTATTTTTAAAGATGACGAGATTGGAAGTATTAATAAATAAATTGCCCAGCATTACACCATTACTAATTGGTAAAGCTCAGATTTTAATCTAGGTTTGTCCATTTCCAAACAGTCCATGCTGTTTTCAACTCCTTTAAGGAWTTTCAAACTTGTGCTCAAAGAACACAAAAGGTATGACAGCCCAATTATGGATGATAAATAAAAATGGTAAATTATTAACTAACTTCAGATTGTCAGTAGACAATCTTKCAAACCATATGGTCTATGGGAGAAAAACAAACAAAAGAAATTCTTAGTAATAATAAAGAAGAAGGGAATCCCTGCTATATGCTTTGAGGCAGAAAAATAAGTGGGCACTTAAGGTTTCCTTCTAAATTTTTCGGTTCTCAGCAAAAATACCTATGGCAGTTTTGTTTAAGAATTTAGAATACGTTGTTTGCTAGTGTATTCTATGCTACATCTCCTGGAAAGCTTAGCAAAGCACTTAAGGTTCAAAAGCAAAAAGATAATGGTGACTCCATAGTTTTAAAGACCCCAAATGGGAGCTAGAGTTGTAGCTCAGTGGTAGAGCACTTGCCTTGTGAGGCACTGAGTTCAATCCTAGCACCACATAAAAAAATAAATACATAAAATAAA